CCCCCCCCCGTCCTTCTAATCCTTCACACCCCGGGAGCCTCTCCCTGCTCTGTGGATGTGTTGCGGCACAAAGGGAAAAAGTATCCCCCAGCCCAACACCGGTAGAGCCTGTCCTTGCATCAGCACTCCCAAAACGTCAATCCCCCTTCCTGTCCTTGTTTCCCTTGTCCCCGGTCCTGTGGCCGGGATCATCATGTACCCCTTCCCTTTTTTCCACATTTCGATATACACTGTGATGCTGGCATGCGCGCACACGTATGCACGCCTGGCATTGTTGATCCAGCCGCCGTCTCTCGGCGCCCCTTGTTCCCGGTGCTTTTCTCCCCCTCCCCCAGGCAGGGGGGCAGACTGCCAGGTTTGAATCGGGCGTGATCCACTGATCACCTGTCCGGCCAGGGAAGCCCAAGAACATATGCCAACTCAAGTCACGGGCTCGTCGGGCGCCTCACCGGCGCACAGGAGTCGGGCCCGGAGGCAGCCAGGGACAAACAATCCTCCCTCCTGTGTGGGCACTCAGCTGCCGGTTGGGGCGGTTATTTCTCCGAAGATCTGGAGCAAAGGTCGAGATCGTCTAACACCCCCGCAGCCTTGGGCTTTGCGATTTGGTGGACAAACTGGTCGGCTCGCAGTCACCTGGTCTGGCTGGAGGGACCGGGGGGAGGGGGGAGGGGAAAGACCGTGTTCCACGCGCGGGCGGAGGAGACGTTGCCCGAAGCCCACGCAGAGGCCATTTCGCCCTCCACGTGTAGGCACTCCTATGGTGAGCTGCCGGGCGTGTGTCCTGGCCCGGAAATCGGCGCCCTGGCCTGCCGGGCCCTCTCTTCCCCCGGGCGAAGAGGGCCGGATGTCCTCCTCGTCCTCCTGCGCGCCGCCCTGTTCCCCTTCGCCAGGGCGCCGTGTTCTTCCAGCCTCAGCCTGGTCGACCTGGATATGGGCAACTTCCCCCCCCCCCCCCCCCCCCCCCCGGAGAGGCGGGGGATGGCTGGTGGGAGGGAGGAATGACTAAAGTCGGCCTCTTTTTTTCGTGCTCTCCTTGCAAGCCCTCTCGGGCCCATCCTGGGATCCGGGCGCCGGAAGGAAGACTCGCTCGGATGAGCTCATTAGCCGACGGGGGGGGGGGGGGGCGGGGGTGCCCGCGGGCAACACACGGGCGCCGCGCGCACGGCCAAGGCTATCCGAGGCCGGGCCCGGTGCTCGGATGTGCCGGGGCGGTCTTTGGAGAGGCACACCCGGGGCCAACATGCTCGCGCTGGGCCTCTGTGCTGGTGCCTGCATGTGCATCGAAGGAAGGACGTGGGTGTGTTGTGCACGCGCCGCGTCCCCCTGAGCGCGGGGGTGCTCTCTGGAACCGTCCCACACAGGGGGGCTGCTTTGGGAACCAATCCGATGCTCATATGTCGGCGAGGGCCGGACGGGGCAGGGGGGGCACTGCCTGCCCGAGGGGGCATCAGGAGATGTTTTTGTTTCGGCACCAAGCGCACGAAAGCACCCTCGAGGGAGGGATACACCGGGCCACCGGCGCTGGCTTTGAGGGGGAAACAGCACAGAAGAAATCCTTTGCGAAGCGTGATCTGCGACGTAAGCCAGACGGGCAGCGAAGTGACGGGGCTCTCAAGCGGGCGGCCCGCCGCAAGGGACATACACAGAAGGCGGCCATGATGGTGCCGGTTGTGTTGATGACCTCGGGCTGCGGAGTCTTTGGGCGGGAAATGCTCGTCCTGCGTGCCGCAGCCCCAGGTCCAGAGCCATGATCTGTGGGGTCTGCAATCTCGGGCCCCCCTCCCGGCCTCTCGCTTTCCCTCCCTCCCTCCCTCTCTCTCTCTCTCTCTCTCTCGCCATCTCACACGGTCAGGAGGCAGACCAGTGGGGCATTCCCTCCCTCCTCCACTGGTTTGTGCTCTTTGCATTTCCCCCGTGCCCCCTTGCCCCGCGCCCCCCCCCTTGAAGAGCGGGGTCCGAATGGTTCTGGTGCTCGCATAGGCTTCTCTGTGTATCGCGTCATGCGTGGGCGCCACCTCGCGGAAAGGCAAGGGGGTCATGGGCCAACTCCACGGCCGGATTCACTCCGCGTTCGACCAGCAGCTGCGGACCAAGGAGACCCCGGTGTGGCCGGGGGTTCACCGGCCCGGGCCGAATCCTTTCCAGGGCTGCAAATGCAGCCGGGATGGTCTGGGCCGGGGCGATGTCTCTCGAGTATTTTCCCCGCCCTGAAGGGCCGCAGTTCGGCGGGGAGGAGGAAAGGGGAGGGAGGGGACCAGGGAGTTGGCGCTGGAGCGTGCGTGCGTAGGCGCTCGCGCTCGCGCGCTCCGAAGCACGACACAACCACCGGTGAATAGAGGCACTTCTCCAACGAAGAATCGTGTTTGAGGGGACGGCACCACGACGCGATGCATGGAGTTTCGTCTGGGACCGCCCCTCCTGCGCGGGGCCGGGCCGCCATGCGCCGCAAGCCCGTGGCTGACCACGGAGCAACCAAAGGGGCGCGGATCCGGGCGCACGAGCATCTTCAAGTGCGCAGGCCTCCATATGCGGACTAGCACGCGGGGAGCCAGGCCGAAGGCGGGAAAGACTAAGCGGCAGGCCGAGTGGGGGGGGGGGGGGGGAGCGGAGGAAGGCAGGAGTGCCCTCGAAAGCCGGCCGTTTGGCCGACCGGGGTTCCCCTCTCCGGTGGCCGGTCCTCGGGCCTCGTTCGGAGTGAAGCGGTGAGGGGGCCACCAACTCTAGGCACAGGTGGCCATGACGGAGTTCGCTCGAACACTCCTCAGGTGGGGGAGAAAGCGTTCGCACGCCAAGTGGACTCCCCCCCCCCCCCCCCCCCCTGCCGCTGGTCGCCCCCTTGAGCCGGGCCCGATGGAAGCCTCGAGTCTAGATGGCCACTCGTGGTAGCGCTTTCCCTCTCTCTCTCTCCCTCTCTCTCTCTCTCTCTCTCTCTCACGAGAGAGGAAGGCCTTGGTACCTGGCCTCCGGGGACATGGTCCTCCCGAGGGCGATGGCCTTCCACAGCTCTCCCTCCGGAGACCCCAGTGGAGAATATAGGGCTGTTACCTTTTGCCTCCGTTGGCCTTCAAAAGCCATGTACACAGGGTCCCCCAGCCGGCGAACCCTCCCTCTCGCCCTCGCCACCGCTCGTCCGTGTGAGTGATGAGGGTCTTTGCGTGTTTGTGTGCATGTGAGTATTTGGCGGATGTCCGCCCGAGAATGGTCTTGCAGCATGGGGGTGTCTATTTGCAGAGCCACCGCGCTTGATGGGCGGCCCCCTTCCCCTCTCCCCCCCGCCCGCTCGAACGCCGAGTGTGAGGGTGGCGAACGGACGCACAGCCGGGCGAAGACCGCCGAGCCTGGTCGGGTGGACACCGGCCACTTCTGCAGCGCGAGGCAAAAGACCCGCGCGACTACCCGAGGGCCGGACAGAGGCAGGGAGGGGGGAGGGGCAAGGGGGGGGGGAGGGGGGGGGGGGGGGGGGGGGGGGGCGGTGCCCCAAGTTCGCGCCAGAGGCGTTGATTTCCTCCCCCTTTTTTCTGGCCCCCCCCCCCCCCCTCCCCCCTCGCCCCCCAGTCCGACCTGTTTCCGCGTTGCTCCTCGCCCTTTGTGAGACTCGGACCAGGGGTGGTGGCGAGCACCAGCCCCAAGCCTGGGAAAGTGGGCTGAAACACCCGGTTGTAGACCCAACCCCCGGGTGTCCCCTGCCCGGCGCCGCCCCCTGCGGGGGCATGTTTGTCTAAGCCCGCCCCCCTCCGTGTTGGGCCATGTCGTTGCCTCGCGACTTTGGCCCCAAAGGCCCCGCAGACGGTTGGCGCCGTTATTTTCCCGCGACCGGGTCGCTCTCCGGCGATGAGTGTGGCGCCCTCTACGCGAGGCATGGCTTCCTCCAGGCCGATTCTTTGCAGCGGATCTGAAGCGCGGGGCACCAGTTCGGCCCCGACCCCGGCCCCACTGGAGTCCTCACTTCATCGGTCGGGTCTCCCTCCGCCTTTCCTATTCTTTCGTGCATGTGCATGTGCATGTGCATGCGTGCGTGCGTGCGTGTGTGTGTGTGTGTGCTTGCACTCGCCCCAGGATTATCCGGCTCACGCTGCCCTAACATGCTCCTCCTCTCGACCCTTCCTTCTCTTCCCTCTTTCTCTCTCTCTTGCCTTCCCCCTCATCTGTTCTGCTGTTTCATGGCTGGTGACGAGACATACGCCGAGCTCCTTCCGCCCAAGCTCATCTCTTGTGCCTTCTTCTCCAACGCATTTTTTCTCGCGATGATCCCTGTGCTTTGTCTCCACCGCGCCTCCGCCACGCATCCATGCCTCGGTCGAGCTTCCGAAGTTACACTCCCAGAAGTGGTACGCGCTTTCGGGCTGAGCATTTGAAGCAGCATAACGGACAAAAACGGCCCAGTTGCAAAGGAGCCTGGCAGAAGATGAGCCTTATTTTGAATGTAGAACTGGAAGATCGCATTTAAGCCCTCCGACTACCCCTCTTGCCCCCCTTCCCGCCCCCCCCGCCCCCCCCCCCTCTCGCCCCCACTTCGGCCCGAGGTCACCCAGATGCTGGGCCGGATTCAAGCGGCCGGGCAGCAGACCCAAGGGGCTGGCGGCGGAGGAAACCTTGGAGCCCGCTCGACAGGGGGCCCACGTAAATAAGCACCCACAGGTGGGAACCTTCGCGCGTGCGAACACATGGAAGTTGTTCGACCGTGCCTGCTGCCCGCCCCCCCTCCCCGGTGATTTGGTCAACCCGGATGTTCGCTCACGCGCCGCCCCCCGGCCTCGGGGGGTGGGCCCAGGAATCCTTGTGCCCTCCTCTCCCCGGCTTGGACATCGCCACGCAGCAGATTGCATTTCGTGTTCCACAAAATACCAGCTGCGTAAGATGGGAGCGTGGCCAGGAAATCGCTCGCCCCGGTCATGGCGCGCTCATACGTCGGCTCCCGTTACCGTCCATAGCTGAAAGCCATCTTTCAGTCTTTCCCCTTGGGCCTGGCCGCCTCCCTTGCCCTTCTGTAGGAATGGAACATGGACGCTGGTGAGGCTCCCCTGATGGGGGACGGGGGGCGCGGGGGCGCGGGGGCGGGGACCGAGCGGAAGGGGGCGGGAAGCGAGGGGGGCACAGAGGCCGAGGAGCTGGGGGGGGGGGGGGCGGGGGGGCGAGAGCTCAAATGAGCCTTCCTTTTCGTCCACCGAGCTTCCGTTTGCCTAGACCCGCCGGTGGGCCCCGACCGCCCTATGCCCCCTCATCCTCCTCCTCCTCCTCCGTGAGTCACAGTGGCAGGAGGAGGGTGGTGGCAGGGGACCGGCCGAAGGGCGGCAGACAGAGGTGAGATGCCTGAGGACCAGGCAGCAGAGAGCAAAGCGTGGCAATAGGCCCCTCTCGCCCCTTGGCCCGGGCGCGGAGAGCGATCGAGCGCATCTCCACCGCAGGCGGTTCATCCCATTCTTTCGGAGTTCTACCCCTGCCCCGGGGAGATCGACCGCATGCCTCGCGCCCAAGGAATCGAGCACGCGATGAGGAGTCCCTATCCCACCGGCCTTGGGTGTTCGGTCGGACACTGGCCCTCTCCGGTTTGCTGACCTCCAAGTCCCCCGAATATTGTGCTGACACGCTTGCAAGGTGAGCCCTGCCTCCAAAGACGTGGCTGCCACCAAGCGAAAAGCCACCACGCCCCTGCCACTCAACCGGCATCCTCAACACTCACACACCCACCCACCCATCCATCCTCCCTTGCCTCCCTTGCTGCCCTGCCCGCCTCCCTCTCCTCCCCAGGATCTACCCGTCGACGTCGGTCCACGTGTAGTCTGACTGCGGCCTCTTGCCCGAGCCCTCGATTCTTCTGTACGCTTCCCTCCCTGTCTCTCTCGCCCCTTTTCTCCGGAAGACATTGCCCCCTCGCCATCGGGGGTTTGTCCTCCCCCCTATCCCGCCACTCCCCGGCCCCCATGGTAGCTGTATCGCCTAATGAGTACATCCTTCCAGGCTCGGTATCTTCCGCAGCCCCGCCCCGGCACATCTCCTGTCCTCCTGCTCCTCGAGCTCTCCTCTTCCGCCCTCTCCGCCATCGGTTGTTTGCTGGACGCCCCCCCCCCCCTTCGGCACTCGTTCCTCCCACCTCTCCGGCGCCCTGTCCGCCTCTTGTTCTCAAAGCCGCGTGAGCCCCACGGTATTTCGACCCTCATTGCCAAGGTACCGCCACACTCATCCACAAGTACGCCCACAGTACGCCCATACACAGACACACACTCTGTCGGGAGGGGATTCCAAAGGCGTCTCCCTCCGCCCACCGCTCCCTTTCACCCATCAAATGGTCTGACAAGGTTCTTCCAGTCTCACGTCCCAAACTCTGGCTAAAAAAATCCGTTCTTTGGTAGAGACCACCCATTCGTCCGCTGCTAGTCCTTCAAAAGAAAGCGAGAAAAAGAGAAAGCCCTCCTAGCAGGTACGCCTCTGGCACATTTGGTCATCGCCTCTTGCTCTGCCTCAGGAGGGAGGGAGGGAGGGGGGGGGGGGACATCGTACCTAATGGCACGAGGCAGGGCTACATATTTGGATTTAGGGAGAGGGGCAGGCGGCGCGGCATGCGGGGGGGGGGGGGGAGGGGGGCCAGGAGAAGATCTATGAGAAAGGTCGGCCCCGGGTCCAGAGCCCCCCCTCCCCCCCAGGAAACACCGTCTCCATGGACGGGGGGAGGGGGGGTACACACAGATGAGGACAGATATGTGCTGGTCCCGAGGCCCAGACGCCGGTCCAGGTTCCCCCAGTTTGTCGCGTCAGTGCACCCCCTGCGCATTTCTCCCCGCCCAGTGCAGAGACATACGCCCCCCCCCCCCCCCCGGGGGGGGGAGGGGGTCCCAGTAGCAGCAGCAGCGGCAGCTCCCTCCCAAATAATTGGCCCCGCTTTCGGTAACAGCCGCCCAACTGACAAGATCCTTTCGAACTGCCGGTGCAACCTCCCCTCGGACTCAGCTCATCTTCTCATGTACGTTGGCACACGCATAAATGGCCCCGGTCGCCATTCTTTGTCCGCCCTGACCCCTCTCCCCACGCAGAGGGGCTGCCTGAGGCGCCCCGCGGCGAGCCCGCCCGATGTTTCGCGGGGAGGGGGGGGGGGGGACGTTGTTTCGATCTGCCGCCCTGACTTGAGGGCGCCTTCGCCCCACTGCCCCGTTTCATCTTTCTCTCTTTGTCAATCCCTCCATCTGGACCTCTTTCGCTTTCCTTGTACGATCTAACTCCCCTTGTCGCCGCCCCCCCCCCCCCGCCCCCTGTGCCCTGGTCTTGTTCTCCTGGCGGACTTCCCTCTCCTGGTGCAGTCAGGGACTGGTCACTTGGTGATCGGCTTCCCCCGTCCTTGCGATCGGCAGTTTCCCCTTCCACCTGGGCCAATGTCGTCCTCCATGTCGATGCCCACCGGCGGCACGCCGTACCTCACGATGGAGGATCACCTTCCCATGGCTGGATCGGCCCCCTTTGATAAGGAGGCCTTGGATTTCACCATGTGCGCCGAGGGCGCCAGCTCATGGACATACAATGTTGCGGGCAAAGGCTTCGGGGACTCCTTCAACGCCAACAACGAGGCGTCACTCATGATGAACGCCCTCGACACCGAGGCCCAAAGCCTGGCCACAACGACCCCCTCTCGCGGGAGCAGCCTCCACAAGCTGGCCTCGCCTCTTGATCCTCTGACCGGCATCCAGTCCTTCGGGATGGATGCCATGCTCAATGGCGGGGCGCCTGGGTCGGATGCTCGTTTGCACGATGGTTCGCTCTTCTTCCTGATGGATGGCGGCCAAGCGAGCCGGCCAAGCGAGCTGCCCAAGGGCATGGGGCTGGGCTTGAATTCGCCGAGGATCATGGCCGAGTCGCTCTTTGCCCCGCTGGATCACGGCCAGTCGGACGAGCTCTTGACCTCCTCGACGGCCCCGCTCGAGCCCATTGGCCAAAGCCTCGAGGGCATGTCTCTGGGCCTTCGGGCGCCGGCCGAGTCACGTCACTTGGCCCGGCCGGCCACGGCCCCGGAATTGGGGCCCAGCTACACCAGGACCCGCAGCACTGCCACCCCGGCCCCCATCGAGCCCGGCCCACGGCCAGGCACTTCCAAGTCGTCCCCCAAGGCCACGCTCAAGCCCAAGACCATGGCCAAGGGGCCGGCCCGGAATCCGGGGCCGAAGAGTGGAGACCCTCTGAGGGAGGCCCTTCGTCAGCCGGCTTCCTCCACGCCGGCGCCCCTGAACTATCACCCCTACGTAGCGCCGATGCCGTCTCAGCACTACGGGTCCGACTCGACTGGCTATCTCCTTTACCCGGCTGCAAAGGCGCCACCGGCTCCCGGGCCCTATGACATGGCGCCAGGAGCCCAGCATCTCGACTTCCAGCCAGCCCCCGGGCCTGGTGAGCAGTATGACGGTCATGACTCGGGAGCTGGGCAATTCATCGCCCACGAGGGTCCCAGCCCGGGCTCGCTGGGCTCGACGAACGAGGACTTTGACCTCGGGTCGGGGCCCATGCACTCGGAGATGCGCGCCCCGCCCCCACCACCGGAGCCCTATGAGATGCCGCCACCCGCTGGGGCTTATGGCGGGCCGGCCGAGGCCGGGGGCTTCGATCGCCATGTCGCCTCCTCCGGTGGGACTTTGACCCACGCGCCGCATGGCATGCAGCCCGACCGGGGGTTCATCTTCGCACCGAAGCCCATCGATGCCACTTCGGCTGCGCGGCTGTCGAGGCCACCCCACAGATCCCAAGAGTCTCTCTGGCATCCGGCTAGCATGGAGCGTGGCCCGGTGTCGGATGAGGGCAAGGCCCGCTCGAAGGGCGACATGGGGTTCAGCCTCGGCCCCGACACCGATACTGGGCTTTACAGCATGGCGAGCGACCAGGCGCAACCAGCCGACATGGTCTTCGACATGAGCGACCAACCCTCCAGCATGGGGCGAGGCCCGGCTCGGATGGCCTCGCAGCATGCTCAGCACAGCACCGTGTTGTCGGAGGCCGGTGCGGTTTCGGCCTCTGGCATGTCGTCGCTGGCTCTGAACCCGCATCAACAGCATCAGCAGCATCATCAGTATCAACAACACCAGCGGCAACAGCAGCTACAGCAACAGCACCAACAGCAGCACCAACAGGCTCTGCAACAACAGCAGCACCAACAGGCTCTGCAACAACAGCAGCACCAACAGGCTCTGCAACAACAGCAGCACCAACAGCAGCAGCAACAGCAGCAGCAACAGCAGCAGCAACAGCAGCAGCAACAGCAGCAGCAACAGCAGCAGCACCACCAGCAGCAACACCAGCAGCACCAACAGCAGCACCAACAGCAACAGCAACAGCAACAGCAACAGCAACAGCAACAGCGCCAATACCAACAGCAACATCAACAACACTATCATCAACCTCAACAGCAGCAGCAGCAACAGCAGCAGCAACAGCAGCAGCATCAACCACAGCAGCAGCTCCAGCAAGCTCAGCACCACCAGCAACATCAGCAGCACAAGCAACACCAGCAGCAGCAGCAGCAGCTCCGTCACCAGCCTCCCAGCTACCACGCCCATCAGCACATGCACCACCACCAGCCTCCCAGCTACCACGCCCATCAGCACATGCACCACCACCACCACTCGGCCTTGCAGACCGTCACCGAGGAGGAGATCCCCTTCATGCAGGGCTTTCCACAAGCCACCGGGGGGTATCGGTCGGCTCCCAGCAGCCGGCCTTCCTCGTCGGAGTCCTTTGACCAGGCATCGCGCTACTCGCTCGGCATTGCCGGCCCACCACATCGCAGCCACCCATCCGATGGGGGATTTCACTACGCCCGGGGGAGTGCGTCCAATCGAAGCCAATCCGCCGAGGGGGATTTCCATCCGGGCCAGTCGGGCGCCCCGCCATCCATCTCCATCACGATCGGCGAGCAGAGCTGCAGCGGGCCACTCTCGGCGCCGGTCTACTATCAGCCACATTTGGCTGCCGGGTCGGAGGCCCGGCCGTCCAGTTCCAACGACAGCAGCCCGTCCACCCACTTGCCGGTATGTCACCGCGCCAGCGCGCTTTTATTCTGCGTCGCTCCGCCCCCCCCCCCCTCGTTCCCTCGCCGCTTGAATCGCACTCTGCTCAAAGGGTCTCTCTTTTCTCCCCCGGCTCATCTGACACTTCCTTGTGCAGGATCACCCCGCCGCTGCCATGTCCCTGGGCAGGATGATGCCACCGACCGGCCAGCCGGCCCCGGTGGTCTCGAGCCCGGGGGCGTCGGACTTCCGGACCGGGCAGCCGATGGGCCCGGCGCCAGTGCCGATGCCCGGCGGCCGACGCATGAGCGAGCCGAGCATTTTGCTCCACACCCAACACCGGCGCGCCTCCTTCTCGGCCATCTCCACCTCCAGCCATGGCGGGGGCTATGCTGACCAAGGCCCATCGGGCTACTTGGGGCCCTTTTCCGCGGGCATGAGTGCCCCGTCCGCGGCACACTCCTCGCCCGGGCCTTCAGGGGATTCCTTCTTCGTGCGCCAGTATACCCCAGTGCCATTCGACAGCGGGGCGCGACTTGATCAGGCCTTCGAGCCTGCGACTCAGCGACTCGTCACCCCCGCGGCCGGGGGCACGGGCGTCGGGCCGTCGTCCGCCACCGCGACCGCGACGCCGACCGCCGGAATGGGCATCGCCCATTCCGACGCCGCCGGCTATGCCAACACTGCCGACGAAACCATGGCCGAGCTACCGGAGCATCCTGGCAGCAGTATCGGCATCCGGCGGGGGTCGCTCGGTCAGGAGGGTGTCCACTCGCGCGGGGGCACTCCGGCTGCTCCGATGGCCGACATGCCCCCGGGACCCCCGGCCATGGGCGGCACGGGTGCCTTCTATTCCGGCCACTGTGGCCCGGCCGGTGGCGAGCCCCATGCCCGAGCCGACAACTATGGCACTTTTTCGACCCCTGGCGTCATCATGCCGCCGATGTCCCTGGCCAAGTCGCACCTGGTGGCCGGCCGGCGGCACTCGGTGCACACGTTGCCAAGTGGCGAAATGGGACCCGCATCCGTCGGACCGGTGCCCCCGCGCGCGTCGTCTGTCACGCCCACCGAGTCCATGGGTCCCTCCGGCCGGCATGCGCTTCTCCGGCCGCCGCACCATGATGTGCGGCCTCAGCCCGGGCTGCTGTCCGCTCCTCCGGCGAGCCCGGGCTCTCAGTCGCATCTGGCAGCACCGCCGGCCCCGTCGCCGCTGCCGCCGCTGCCGCCGCCGCCGCTGCCACCGCCATCTGCCAACCGGCAGCCCGAGCCCACGCCACCGCGGGCGCCGCTCCTGCCCGCCAACGAGGCCACCCCCCCGCGGTCGATGTCATCGTCGACCCCTTCCGCCGGGCCATTGGCTCTTTCATCGCACCCGGGGCCCATGCGCTCGGGCCACCTACCGGGCCCCTTCCGCACGGTGAGCTGCGATACACTTCTCGCCGCCAGCAGCCAGGGGCTCTCTCTGAGCTCCACGGCCTCCGATGACCTCAAGTCGGCCGCCACCTCCTTCCGGATCTCCCTCGCCCGGGAGGCTCGCGAGGGCGACACCCCGCTGGAAGCCCTCACCGAACGGGCCGGCTCGACGTTGCGAGCCCTTGCATTGCCGCCGCCGCCGCCGCCGCCGCCACCGCCACCGCCACCGTCACCGCCGCTGCTGCTGTTGCCCCCGGCACCCTCGCCGACGGCCCACACCGCGGACAAGGAGCCTCCCGGCAGGCCTCCGGTCGGAGCTCCACTCCCACGGCCGCAGACATCTCCCCAAAGGTCGAAGTCCCGCCAGGCCTCATCGCTGGAAGAGGAGCCCGATCGGCGGCATGGCGCCAAGCCGCGTCGGGCCTCGGTTCCGGTGCTGCCCATTCACCGGGTCAACCAGCGCTCGGTGCCGTTTGGCGAGCTGTCGCCCGGCCTGGCGGCCCTCGAGCCGGCGACACATGCCCCCGGCCAAAGTGGCTTCTCCAGGGCCGGCCCCGCGGCCGGACCCCACACCGACAGCCCGCCGTACGGCCAGTCGCAGCCACCGATGCCGCGGGGCCGGTCGGTGTCCCTCGGCCAGGAGGACCACCCCCAGTGGGCACCTGCGCGGCGGTTCTCCTTCAGCGACTTGCCCCTGGCCGAGGAGGCCTCCCATCGTCCGAGCCCCCCGGTACCGGGGCCGCTGATCATTCGGTCGATGTCGCTGGATTCGCCGTTGGCCCTGGCGCCGCTGCATGACAGCAACACCCCCCTCGAGTCATTGCCACCCGCCAGCCCGCAGAGCGCCCCGCCGGTGTCCGAGGCTGCCCCGGCCCCGGCGGCGCCCCAGCCGTTGTCCAAACGCCAGCGCGTGGACCGGTCGCCGGTCTTGCGCCCGGATGTCCACCAGCCGGACTTGGGTCCATGCCAGGAGGGCACGCATCAGGCTCCCCCAGCCGGGACTCGGGGCAAGTCGGCGGAGGAGCCCGAGCGGCCGGGCCACCGCCCGAATGAGGAGAGGTCTTTGGACGAGATCGAGCGCGAGCAGGCGGCCCTGCGCCGTCTGCTGCAGGAGCAGCAGGAGGAGCTCAAGAAGCAGCAGCTCATCCTCAAGCAGCAGCTCCTGCACCAGAAGCGCCAGCAGGAGCAACTTCTCGTCAGCCAGAAGGCCCTCGAGCGCCAGCACATGCTCCATCACCACCATCAGCTGCTCCTGCGCCAGCAACACAATCAGACCATCCAGCCGGCTGGGGCCTTTGCACCGAGCATCCATCCGGGCGGCAGCACCAGCGGCCCAATGCCCAATGCCCTGCCGGCAACGTCAACCATTGCCGACTCGCTGGCACTCATGATGCAACTTCAGACAGCCATGGCGGTCGACAGCGCGACCTTCTCAACGCAGGGGCTGCGCGATGGGCTCCTGCCCTCCGGTCTGTGGGGCATGCCCAAGACCATGCCCACCAACCCGATGACGCTTCTCTCATCGTCGTCGTCGTCGTCGTCCTCCTCCTCCTCCTCCTCCTCCTCCGCCGCCGCCCTCTCATCTTCCTCTGCTGCCGCCGCCGGCGCCGCCACCGCTTTGGAGCCTCCACCGCCCCGTGTGCTGAAGCAGTCGCCGGCCGCCTGTCCGACCAAGGCCCCGGAGGCCAGGCTTCCCAGCCGGGCCGGAACCGGCCCGCGAGCCAGGACCCCCTCCCCCGGCAGCAAGGAACAACAGCCGGCAAGTCAGGACTGCCGTCGGGACGGGCGCCAGGCTGATAGCGCCGAGGGCGATGTTGAGGGCGGCTCTTCCAGCAGCGTCGCCAACAGGGCCAACCCGCCGGGGATGGGGCCCAGCCCGGTCACCAACACACGCAGCAGCGACGGCGGCGGGACCGGCACCGGCACCGGCACCGGCACCGGCACCGGCAGCTCGGCTGGCAGGCCCGCGTCCACGGGCCAGACTCCTTTCGCCCCCTCGGACCGGGCTCAGCCCTTCCTTAATGAGGACCCAGGCCAGCTCCCTGGCCCGGGCACGTGCGGAGCCTCGAGCAAGGGCGGCTGCTCGGCCTCTCCCCCGGCGACGGCCCAAACCATGGACGACGGTCGGCAGTTTGCGCCATCGACCGGCAACTGCTCGGGCACCGACGCCGGGCACTCCTCGGCCGGCTCGCCCCCCTCGGATGCCTTGAAGGTCATCACCACAAGCGAGGGCAATGCCTGGGTGCTCCGACGGCGGAATCGCACACGGGCCTCGCAGTCGGCGAACTACATCCGCCGGCCGATGAACGCCTTCCTGCTGTTCCGTCAGCACCGGTCCGCCGAGCTGGCCCAAGAGGCCATCAACTTGCAGGAGCGCGAAATCCTCCGCATGGCCCAGGGCATCCCCAACACCGGGCCCGACAGCAGTGACACCCTGTCCGAGAGCCGGTCTCGGACCCCGTCAGTCGGCCCCGGCGGCGGCGGCGGCGGCGGCGGCGGCACCGGGTCGGCATTGACCGCCAGCGATCTCCTCACCGGGCCCGTGCAGCTGCGCGTCCTCTCCACCAGCCCCATTGACTCCTCGGACTCGGCCCAGGAAACCCCCTCGACATCGGACAAGAGGCCCTCCCCCCGGCGGAAGACCACCCTCATGGTCAAGTCCCTCGGCATGAACAATCTAGACCTGAGCCGGGCCCTTGGCAATGAGTGGCGTCAGATGGACGACGCCAAGCGCGCCTACTGGTACCAGAAGGCCAATGAACTGAAGGAGGAGCATGAGCGCAATCATCCCGACTGGAAGTTCATGCCGCGGGCGCGCTCGCGGGCGCGCCCTCCGCTGGCCACTTCCTCGAGCGGCACCTCGACTGCTGCTACTTCGCCCGGGCAGTTTGACGCGACACCCGGCTCCCAGGCCCCGGCCAACCTCAGGACCGACCTGGCCGCTCCCTCGCCGGGGGATATGCCACAGCCCCCTCCATCCCCCATGAACGTCTACATGCCTGTCCAGGCATCGGCCGCCCAGGCACATGGGAATCTCTCCTGCACTTCCATGCCAACGCACGCCGCCCTCGCGGCCGGCGATGTGGCCAGGCCACCGTCCCTGGAAAAGGCCCCTCCCCCAGGGATGCCCTCTCATGGGCCAGTCGCCCTGGCCCGGGCTGAAGGCAGTGGCCCTGTCATGTCGCCCGCCTCGGCTCGGGACAGCATGGCGTCCGCGAATCCGGCGATCTTTTCATCGGCCCCCGATCCGATGGTCGGGCCCGGGTGCCCCGCAGTCCCGCCGAACCCCACGCCAGCGGTCAGCTCCCCCACTGCGGAAGCCGCTGGCAGCGGCCCGGACCAGCCTGCCCTGGCCCCGGGGGCCACCCTGCGCCCCTCGGTGGAAGACCAGTTCGGGCATCGAGTCTGCAAGATGGAGATGTGACACACATATGCCGGTCGTCGGTCCGCCTTTTGAGCACTTTATTTTTGTACTATTATCCCCCCCCCCCCCCCCCCC